CACAGAGAGCTCCGAGTGTCACAGCTCAACTACTTCAGACTCCACTTTTGATGCAGGAATTGTTAATAACCTAAATGCACAAAGCAACAGAGAAATTAGTATAAAGTAGTACATTTGTGGGGAGTTGATACAATTTGAGTCAGATAGTGTCCCCAACAAGATCATCTTATGACCACTTCTACCTCCCTGTTCCAAAGTATATCTGAATTCAGTGCGTTTCCTTAAATCACCATACGCCAATTCTAATTCTGCCTTTCAACCTTAATAGTGCTGTGTGTAAAATGTAGGTAAGCCCTAGTCAAGCTTATTTATTATGTTTTGAATAACCACTAAAAGACACTTCCTGGAAACATTTCCAGTTTTCTCTTTTTAGCTTCCCTGCAAGCATTGTAGTATAAAAAGAGGCACAAGATATAAATATTTCTTTTAACACGTTGGAGAAAAAGAATATGAAAGATGAGGTGGGAAAGAGGTATCCACGTACACATCTCGGCCGAATTGTAGATAATCCATTTCAGAAAGAGTACGTTCATTATATGCCTAGAAATTATTTCTTAATTTCTGCCTATACATGGTATACCCTCAGGCGTATATATAGACCAGTTTAAAGATAAATGTTGGTTACCTCCCTTCCATCTGTACTCCTTTTATGGCCTCTTAGTTTATAGAATTTACTAGGATAACAAAAGTTTCATCCATTTCCATGGTTTCATTTAGCTATTCTGACAAAACCTAAACCTACTGTCATTTTCATGCGTTCAACCTTCTCATCATGGTCTGTACTTTATAGTACTGGACTGCTCATCTTTCTCCTGTAATTACCTATATTCGTGAATCTTGCCTCTACTATGTAGGCTTAAATAATTAACTGCCTGCCTATGGAACTACCTAGATATCTAGAGTTCTATAAGGTTGACATAGCCACTGCCATTGCCTTAATGACCCTCCATTCGGTTTCTTTTTTTTTTAAAAAAAAAATTATTATTTTTTTGTGTGTACTGTCAAATTGGATCTGACTGGTACAAGAGGAGGTTGTCCCTTCCTCTCCAGAAGAGCATCTGGTGGATTCAAACTGCTCACCTGTGGGATTGCAGTGCAGCTTCTTGCCACTAGGCCATCAGAGCTTGCCTCGCCATCCAGTTTCTAAGGCTATAAATCTTTATGGATGAAGACTACCCATCTTCTCCCAGAGAGTGGTAGAGTCAAACTCCCTATCTTTTGGTTAGCAACCTGGCAGTGTTACCATGTCACCATAGCTCCTTAAAATTAATGTATCTGTATTAAACTCTTGATTAACAATGCTTGTCATTGAACCCATTCATCTTCCAGTTTCCTCTTATCTCTGTTAATTGCCTGGTGTAGAGACTAGTTTAAAAGCTATTTTACTTTCTGCAGAGAATAAACCTTCAGACTTTTCTTGGGATAATTACTGTGACATTTACATCTAATTCTCACCCCTAGTTGCAGAAGTATCCAGCACTGCCTCTTGTGAGTTTTTTGAGTATTTTACAAGGTAAATTGGTTTGATTCTCAGTTTTCTTCACTGCCGACTTGAGATTTTTATTTTTATGTTGTGAGATCTAGAAATCTTTTTGGCTTTGGAACATTTAAGACATGCTTAGGAAAACTTCAAGTTCCACAACTGAATATTATTATTAATTTTTGAGGGAGTGTATTGGAAGATTGTCTATCTGTGTTTCATTGACTATGCAGGGGCGTTTGACTGTATGGATCACAACAAATTGTGGCTAACCTTGAGAAGAATGGGAATCTCAGAACAATTAATTGTGTTCATGCTAAACCTGTATTTGGACCAGGGAGCAGTAGTCAGAACAGAGCAGGGAAACTCTGCAAGGTTGAGGATCAGGAAAGGTGTGTGTCAAGTATGCATCCTGTCTCCATGCCTTTTCAGTCTATATGGAGAACAGATTATTAGAGAGGCTAGACTTTATGAGGAGGAATGTGGCATCAGGATTGGAGGAAGACTCATCAACAACTTGTGTTATGCAGATGACACAACCTTGTTCACTAAAACTGAGGAGAACCAACCTGAAGCTTCTGCAGGAAGTCAAGGACTACAGTCTTCAATATGGATTGAGGCTCAACATCAAGAAAACAAAGATTCTCACCACTAGGCCAATTGGCAGCATCATGATAGATGATGAATAGACAGATTTTCAACAATTTCAACTTGGCTCAGCTTTACAGTCTTGGAACCAGCAGGCAGGAAATCAAAAGACGAATTGCATTGGGCAAATCAGCTGTCAGGGACTTCTCTATAGTACAGAAGGAGCAACGATGCCAGTCTGAAAACTAAGATACACCTGATCCAGGCTATGGTCTTTGCAATTACTTGCTGTGCATTAGTGAGCTGGACAATAACTAAGGATGACAGAAGAAAGATCCATGCCTTTGAGTTGTGCTGGAGAAGAGTATTGAACGTGCTGTGGACAACCAGGAGAACAAACAGGTCTGTCCTGGAGAGGGTGAAACTGGCTGCTCACTGGAGGTGAAGATTTTGATGCTTTGTCTCACATACTTTGGGCATGTGGCCAGAAGGGACCAGTCCTTGGAGAGGGTCCTCATGCATGGAAGAAGGGACAGCGCAGAAGACGACCCAGCTATGAGTCATAGTTGACTCAGTGGCACAAAACAACAGCAACAACAACTGACTAGTCTGTGGAGTGCCAAAAGAACAAAAAGATATGTCTTAGAGCAGGTGCAATCAGAATGCTCTTTAGAAGCAAGGGTGGCGAAATATCATACTTCGGGCATGTTTTTAGGAGAGGCTATTCCTTGGAAAGGGACTCATGCTAAGAGACTTGGAGAGTCAGTGAAAGAAGACCTTCAATGAGATGGATTGATTGGATTGATGCAGTGGTCTCAGATGTCTGTGACATGATGAAGATAGTACAGGATAGCTCAGGATTCAGATCTGTTGTTCATAGAGTCTCTAAGTCATACTTAACTCAGTGTCACCTAACAATAACAAAAAGCAGGTTTTTTAACAAAATTATTTTTTGTTTACACTGTCAAATCAGATCTGACTGGTACAGGAGCAGATTGCCCCTCTTTCTCTAGCACAGAACATCTGGTGGATTCGTGCCGCATCTCTGGGATTGCAGTGCACAAAAAGCAGTTTTTAGTTTTTATGGCTTGATCTATATTCTCCAGTTAATAAATCTTAAATTTATTTACATCCTGTATTATATGTCTCTAGGAATTTGCCTTTGAATTTGGTAAACCACAGTAGTGTAGATGTAGTTTTAAGTATTTTGAGCATTTATTATGAGATTGATTTATTATACTAGTTTATTTACAAAATTTGAATGCATTGTATTTCAGACCAAGTTCCTCCAATTTCCCTTACTCCACCATCAAATTGTACAACCCCAAGTTTAACCCTCCACCCCCATACACCCTCAGCCCTCAGCTTCTACCCTCCTCCCCCCTTGGATCCTCATTCTCATTCTACAATAATGGTTTTGTACAATATTTGTCCTTGAGGGACTGAGTTCACTCAGCATAATACTCTCCAGTCCCTCTCAAGTTAGGTAATAATTTACAAAATCATTGCTTCTGTGTGCTGCATAGTATTCCATTGTATGAATGTATCATAATTTCTCAATCATTTAATTGTGATTGGATATCTGGGCTGATTCCCTGTTTTTTTATGAAATTTTAAAATGCCTTGTTTTAGGAATAGCCTGTTTACTCGATCACTGTCATGTGCTTGACTGTTAACTTTGTAAAGACGTCTCTATACTGTAAGTGGTGGGAATGAATGTGTTTGAGATGGCTAGGTTGGCACAGGATAGAATGGTGTTTAGAGCTCTTATACATACGGTCGCTATGAGTCGCAGGTGACTCGATGGCACATAACAACAACAACAACATACTGTAAGAGGATATAGTAAAAAAAATCACTGCTGTCAGGTTGATTCCAACTCATACCAACCCTCCTTTAGGTTACCAGGACTGTAGGTCGTAATGGGAGAAGGCTGCCCATATTTCTTCCAACGAGCCATTGCAGTCTTTGTTCTTGCCATTGAGGTATTATTAATTTAACAGGATTGTGTAATTTGTTGCATCATAGCATGACCATCAAAAACCACTTGTAGAACATTCAGCTCTATAATTTTAAAAATACCAACTGTTGTCATTATACAGAAACATATATTTCCCTTTTTTTTAGATTTTAATGAGAGTTTATATAGAATGTGGATTTCCAGTCATTCATTTTTATACATTTTCCTCTCTGCCCCCCCAGTTTGCTTTTCTCTTTGAAAAACAATTCTTTCATTGTTGTACGATCCCTCCTTCCCAGTCCACTTTATGATGCAGCTCTTATTCTGACTGTTGTCATGCAAATAATACCTAATCATATATTCCTTTTAAGCAGTTCAATTCTTCATCTGTTTCAATGCAGTGTACATTATTAATCTGCTCTTTTCTTAGTTTCTCCCAACCCCCATGTGAGTCCTGTTTTATAACAGTGGCATTATACAATATTTGTCCTTTTGTGACTGAGATCTTGCACTCAGCAAAATATCCTCCAGGGCCACCCATTTTGTATAATATTTCATGAATTCCTTGTTTTTCAGTGCTGCATAGTGTTCCAATGTGTACGAAATTGTGTATTACATACCATAGCTTCTCTACCCATTCGTTTGCTGATGGACATTTGGGTTATTTCCATCTCTTTACTTTTGTGAACAACACAGCAATAAACATGGATTTGCAAAGAAATGTATATTTTCCTAAAGTGGCCTGCATTCATAGGCTTTTGAAATCAGTGGAATACTGTTAGCTGTTCCTAACTGGCAGTCAAATAGGAGTGGAAAGATCTTCAGATGTCTCTCTGACTTGCCTCACCCACGTGGTGTTTTCTCTCTGCCGAGATATTGATGTTAGTTTTGAATAGCATGTAACTTCATAGCCAATTAAGAGTGAGAAGACTACACACACCTCTTGCTGATTCTGTGTTTGGTTTCTTCTAGATGTCATCATTGCCAAGAAGAGCGAAAGTCAAAGTCCAGACAGAAGTGTCCAAAGACGAATGCTCTTTTTTTTCTGAGTCGTAAGCATATTTGTTTACTATGAGAGCGAGAGAATGAAGCTATTTTAAGGAGTCACTTACTTACTCACTACCTCATTTGAGTTCAATAGGCTGTGTCTTTTTCGTTCATTCATGCAACCAGTATTTATTGAACTCATACTTGTTTCTGGCTCTGTCTAGGTTTTAGTGATAACATGTTGGATAAAGATTTAGCTTACATTTCACAGATACAGAAAGTTAACCAGTAAACTATATGATAAGTATACTAGCCTGTAAGTTCCCTAAGAGCAGGGAGAATGAAGGTTGCGTTCTCTGGAGGAAAGTTACTAAATTTTGGTACTACTGACCTTTAAGCTGATGATGCTTTGTTGTTGGGAACTGTAGTGAGCAATAAGGTTTAGCAAACATCCCTGGCCTCATCCTGCGAGAAGTCAGTAAGCACTGTGCCTTAGCTGTGACAGTCAAAAATGTCTCCAAACATTGCAGTTATTCCCTGGGGAACAAAATTGGCCCCAATTGATTACTGGGTGCAAAATTGTACCCAGTTGATAGAGGAATCATAGATTCTCTGAAGTGACTTAAATAAATCACTAATTAAGGTTAGGCAATGTGATATTGGAAAGGAAAATAAAGTAGAATAAAGAATAGCGAGCATGTGGGTGGTTTTTGTAGGAGCACCTTTTGAATAGCACGTCCAGCGATACTCTTTGGAGAAGTGGCGGTGCGGCAGAGATCTACGTGAGACTTGTGAGTGCGGCCTGCAGAGATCTCTTCTTAGTTGAGGGTGCAGCAAGTGGAAGAACCCCGAGGGAAGAACTGAGCTTGATGTCTTTGGGGATTAGGAAAAGATCAGAATCAATAAGGCAGAGAGTGGTAAGCCCCGGGGATGACAATGAGAGAATTTGCTATGCTGTGACAGTGTTAGGATCTTATTTAGAGTGGGTTGCTAATCCACTGGAGTTTTTGGGCAGAAATCTGATACAGTCTAATTTATGTTAGATCATTCTGGATGGAGAACAGATTATGTAGAGGCAAGAATAGAAGAAGAGGAATCAGTTAAGAGATTATTGTGGAAGCTTAGGGTCCTAGATGGAGCTCTAGTGGCTTGGTAGTACAGAGTTGCACTGGAATCCAAAGGTGTATGGTTTGAATCCCCTTGCTGCTTCATGGGAGAATGATGGACAGTCTCCTCCTTATGATTTATTGTGAAAACTCACTGGAGGGTCAGCTATGGCTCAGTTTCTACTTGACAGTAAATTACGTTAAGAACAACAAGGTCATAGAAGTGAGATCACGAGAAATTATCAAATTTGGACTACATTTCAGAGATACAGTGGGTAGAACACACAGATGGGTGATTTGAATGTAAAGAAAATACAGAAATACAGAAAGACTGGAAAAGGAAGAGATGAGTGAGTGGTGAAATTTTGCATTCTATTTTGTTTGGACTTTCTAAGTTTGAGGTGCTTACTAAACACTCAAATGAAATTGACTGTATGTATCTTGTTGTTTTTTTAAAGTTTATTATTTTGTGTGTGTGTACTGTCAAATCAGATCTGACTGGTACAGGAGGAGGACATTGCCCCTCTTTCTCCAGCAGAGCATCTGGTGGAGAATGTATGTATCTTGTGTTCAGTCCATGTTAGAGATAAAAAAATTGAAATTCCTTCATTCAGCCTTTGGGAGAGATAAGACTATCTAATAAGAGAGCATAGACGAAAAAGAGAAAAGGGCTGAGGACTAAGCCTTGGAGGATTTCTGCATTTATCATTCAGCAAAAGGAACAGAGTATTGAACCACTATCAACTGCCAAGAGAACAAAACAGGTTTATCCTGGAGAGTGTGAAATCAGGCTGCTCCCTGGAGGCAAGGATTTTGAAGAGCCATATCACATACTTTGGGCATGTGGCCAGGAGGGACCAAACCTTGGAGAAGGACATTATGCTTGGAAGGGTGATGGAACAGCACAGGAGAGGAAGACCCCGGATGAGATGGATTGACTCAGTGACTGAGGTAATGGGAGCAAGTATGTCAGAGACAGTGACTGGCTCAGGATAGAGCAAAATTCAGAGCTATTGTACTTGGGGTCGCTGTGAGTCACAGGCGTTATGATGTCATGTCACAACAATAACAACAACAGGGAACAGAGGAGCTACCAGAGAAGTAGAAGAAACCATGGAGTGGTACTCCAGAAAGGCTTGTGGAAGAATCAGCCATTGCTTGTTTAGAGGTCAAAACTACTAGCTGTTCGGGACTGCTAGATGTGTAATGAAGTCATAGCTGCACTTATGTAATGTTTTCTTTCATGGCAACTAAAAGAATTCTTGTCTGACTTGCCATTTAGTAATATTTCTTTGTGAAATAGAGTTAGTTTTTCTGTTTTAACAGATAGTGAGAATGAAGTGGAAGGAAATCTGTTTGCTCAGTTTTGAAACAATGGTTTGGGTTTTTTTTAAATAAAATTTTTTACTGTGATTTTAGTGAAAGTTTACAGAAAACTTGGATTTCCATTCATATATTGTTATACATTTTCCTCCCTATCCCCTCAAGTTTGCTTTTCTGTTTAAAAATTCACTCATTGTTGCAGTTTCCTCCCTTCCCCCCCCAGTCCCCTTCACTATGCTACTCTTTTTTTTCTTTTTAAATTAATTTTAATAGACATTTACAGAGATTTTTCCATTCATTCACTGCCGCACCTTTCTCCCTGCCCACCCCTCCCCACCAGTTCGCTCCCCTCTCTGAAAAGAAAAAGAAAAAAAAATTCCTTCATTAGTACACAATTCCCCCATCCCTTCCCCCCCCCCACTTCTCCACGCAACCCCAACTCTGGACTCCTGTGCTAACCATAATACTCAATCATATATCACCTCCAATCCGTCCTTTCCCTCATCAGTTTCAATACAATACTCACAATCCATCCAGTCTTTTCTGTCAGACCCATTCTACAACAGTGGCACCATGCAGCACCTGTCCCTCTGTGACTGAGATATTTCACTCAACATAATGTCCTCCAGGGTCATTCTTTTTGAATAATATTGTATGAGTTCCTTGTTTTTCAATGTGGCATAGTATTCCATTGTGTGGGGATATACCACAGCTTCTCTATCCATTCGTTTGTTGATGGGCCCTTAGGTTGCTTCCAACTCTTTGCTATTGTAAACAAAACTGCGATAAACATGGGTGTGCATATATCTGCTTGTATGGCAGACATGGTCTGGGGTACATTCCCAGTAATGGGATTGCTGGGTCAAATGGTATCTCTATTTGCAATTTTTTGAGAAAGCGCCACACCACCTTCCACAATGGTTGCACCATTTTACATTCCCACCAACAGTGAATAAGAGTTCCAGTTTCTCCACAACCTCACCAGTATTTGTTGCTTGCTGTTCTGTTAAATTTTGCTATTCTTACTGGGGTGAGATGATATCTCATAGTTGTTGCTATGCTACTCTTATTCTGGACTATTATCATGCAAATAATACATAATCATATATTAATTTTAAACAATTCTTTCCTTCATCTGTTCCAATTGTTCATTATTTACCCTCTCTTTTCTTAGTTTCCCATCAACTCCCAATCTCAATCCTGTTTTATAACAGTGGCATTATGCAGTATTTGTGACTGAGATATTTCACTCAGCATAATGTTCCCCAGGGTCACCCATTTTGTATACTATTTTATAAGTTTCTTGTTTTTCAGTGCAGCATAGTATTCCATTGTGTGAATATAGCACAGCTTCTTTATCCAGTCATTTGTTGATGGGCACTTGGGTTACTTCCATCTTTTTGCTAGTGTGAACAATGCAGAAGTAAACATGGGTGTGCATATATCTGTTTGGGTGGCAGTTCTGGTTTCTTTAGAGTCTATTCCAATTAGTGCAGTTGCTGGGTCAAATGGTATTTCTATTTCCACCTTTTTGAGAAAGTGCCATACTGCCTTCCATAGTGGTTGCACCATTTGTAATGGTTCCAATTTCTCCACAACCTCGCCAGGATTTGTTGTTTGCTGCTCTGCTGAACTTTGCTGTTGTTACTGGGGTAAGATGATAGATCATAGATTTTTTGGTTTGCATCTCCAAATCAAAGAGGATAAAGGACCTAGGAGTAAAACCAAGGATTATAAACTTCCTCAGAGAAAAGCTTGTAAGAACTCTAGAAGCCGTAATCCAAAACATGAACAGTCATTCCAAGCATCCTGAATAACCTGCAACCAGGAGAGAAAAAAGTAGATGAATGGGATCTTATAAGAATCAAATCCCTATGCAAAACACTTTTCTAACAGGGTAAAAAGGAAAGCCACAGACTGGGAAAAAATATTTGGTAATGACAAGGAAACACACTGCATGTTTCAAAATTGGGAAGGGTGTACGCCAGGAATGTGTCCTATCTCCATACCTTTTCAACCTGTATGCAGAACAGATTATCCAAGAGGCTGGGCTGTATGAGGAGAAGTGTGGCATCAGGATTGGCAGAAGATCTATCAACAGTCTGCGTTATACAGATGACACAACCCTGCTTGCTGAAACTGAGGAGGACCTGAATCGCTTGCTGCAAAAGGTCAAGGACTGCAGCCTTCAATATGGATTGAGGCTCAATATCAAGAAGACAAAGATTCTCACTACTGGACCAATTGACAGCATCAGGATGGATGGTGAAGAGATTAAGATGGTTCACAACTTTAGTTTGTTTGGCTCCACAGTCAACACTCTTGGCACCAGCAGCCAGGAAATGAAAAGACGTACTGCAATGGGAAAGTCTGCTGTTAGAGACCTTTCCAAAGTACTGAAGAGCAGTGGTGTCACTCTGGAGACTAAGGTGCATCTGATACAGCCCATAGTCTTTGCAATCACTTGTTATGTGTCAGAGAGCTGGACAATGACTAGGGAGGATAGAGGAGAATTGATACCTTTGAGCTGTGGTGCTGGCGAAGAGTATTGAGTGTACCATGGACTGCTAAGAAAACAATCAGATTCATCCTGGAGAGGGTTAAACTGGGCTGCTCCTTGGAGGCAAGGATTCTGAGGCTTTGTTTGACATACTTTAGACATGTTGTAAGGAGGGACCGGTCCTTGGAGATGGACATCATGCTTGGGACAGTGGAGGGATGATGCAGGAGGGGAAGACCCTCTATGAGGTAGATTGATCCAGTGACTGGGGTAATAGGGATGGGTGTTTTGGAGACAGTGCGATTGGCACAGGACAGAGCAGGGTTTAGGGCTGTTGTGCATAGGGTCGCTTTGAGTCGCAAGTGACTTGATGGCAGATAACAACAACAACAACAACGACATGTCTAATAATGGACTTTTATCTAGAATTTATAGAATATCCTACCACCTAAAGGTAAACAAATAAAGCTAATACAATAAATAAAGGTAAACAGTCCAATTGAAAAATGGGCACAGGATATAAACAGACACTTCACCAAAGAAGAAAGTCCCTAGCTCTAGGAGTAATGGTTTTCTAATTCTTTTCCCACTGTTCCTTTTACTTTCACTGCTGTATTATTTTACTGCTTTTCTGTTTGTGACCTGCTTATTCTTTAGGTAATAGCATTCACTTTTAAAGAGAACACACTTTGAAGGTAACAGTGCTTCATTTATGCTCTCTGAACAGTATGCTCTCTTTTAAGGCACCCTAACGGTGCAGTGGTTTAAGCATTTGGCTGCTGACTGCATGATTGACTGAAGTCACAAGATGCTCTGCAGGCGAAACAGCCACTACTCCTGTTTTCTCTCAGCTACAAAACTCATTGCCTTCAAGTCAAAGCTTACTCATAGCTGACCCTCCATGGGGTTTCTGATGCTGTCAGTTACATGGGTAGATTGTCCATCTCTCTCCCAGCCAGACTTGAGGTTGACAACTCTTTACAGATCGCCCCACCAGAGCTTTCATTCCCCAAATTCATTGTCGTCGAGTTAGAATGACTCATAGTTGATCCTCCAGCTGGCTTTTGGAGGCTGTAAATCACATATCTTTCTCTCTCAGAGCTCCTGGTGGATTTGAACTGTCAGAGATACACTCCCTTTGCTTAGCAGTGTGACTCTCTATGGACTGTGCTACCAGAGTGTACCTGTGAAGATTGTTATCTTGGAAATTTTATAGTGCAGTTCTACACTGTAGTTTGAATTTTTTAATAAAACAACTCAGGTGTTTGCGTCTAGGAAGAATTTAAGGCACTAAAAAGCTTTAGAGTAAAGGAAAGGATTGTCCTTCCCACCAGTATTAGTTTCGTAGAGTAGGAGTAGTGGCAGGAGCATGATGTGTGAACCAGACTCCACATGGCTGTTTTTTCCCTGTTCTAGCTCTCAGTTAAGATTCCTGAAGTGTTAGACAAATGCTGTGACTGCACCTGTTTCACAGAATCAGGAAATTAATTCATTCAGTGAGAAGAAAAAGGGACCAATTAAAGCAACTGCAAGGGTTTAAGGTGTTTTTATGTAACTGTTTCCTAAAGCCGATTCCCACTCTTTATATTGCTTTAAATAACTTAATATAGTTTAAATGAATCTGACTAGTACTTAGGAAAAGAAACAATTTTGAATTATTAAAATGGATAAGCCCACATTGACACATGTCAGAGCTATTTAGAGATCACTAGTAATTTCAGCTCCTGTGATTCAGTAGTGAGGAGTTCCCCTGCGAACCCAGAGCCACACAGTGTGATTTGAATCCACTGGCTGCTCTGAGGGAGAAAGATGGACAATCTCCTGAGAAGACCCACTGGAGGGTCAGCTAGGAGTTAGCTCTGATTCGATAATGTTGTTGTTGTTGTTTAATGCCGTTGAGTCGTAGATGACTCATAGCGACCCTATGAACGAACAGCCTGAGCACTGTTCGTACATAGAGTTTCTGGAGGCAAGCCATTTTGGAAGTGGATGCTGCTCCTGCTTCCAGGCTTGATTTAGTCGGGAAGCTCCAGCCAACACTGTCCACCATGGGTGCCCATTACCACGATTGGCACATCACTGTCACAGGCTTCAGCATCACAGCAACCACGAGTTACCTCTGTACAGCAACGCACAGACCAGTGCTATACCACCTAGAAGAATGTTTGACAGGAAGACAATTTGAACCTGGCTGAGGACCACAGATGACAATCACCCACCTTCGGCTTGGTAGCACAGCTTCCTTCCACTAGGCCAACGTAGTTCTCTCTTGGTCGTCGTCATTATTATTTTTGTTTAATGCCGTCGAGTCGTAGACGACTCATAGCGACCCTATGAACGAACAGCCTGAGCACTGTTCGTGCATAGAGTTTCCAGAGGCAAGCCATTTTGGAAGTGGATGCCGCTCCTGTGGATTCCTGTGGATTCGATAATACAAAACAAAAATAGTCTCAGATATGTTAAATGTACATGTGTAGTGTTGACCTCCTCACAGGGGAGATTGTGGAGATATGTGAGTCAGTGTTTACAACCTGGGATGTTTGTAGAAGTCTATGATCAACTCTTGCTTCAATTCATAGCAATATATATTCATTGCCTGTGCTCACATAACTCTTATTTTTCATTCAAACACCTCCTATGTTGGTTTTGTTTTTTCTAGAAGCATGGCAGGGTTTGTTTGTTTATTCCCCTTTGACATTTAATCTTATTTTCCTTGGAAATTCTCTGTCAATTTTCTCTAGGTCATCTGCATCTGATGAAGATGACAAGGAAGATAGCGTCTGGGAGCCTCAAAATAAAGTCCCCAAAAGCCGTAAACCACGTGTGCCTAAGGAACCTAAGGTACCTAAGCCAAAGAAGGTGCCGCGGGTGAAGAAGCACACCCCCAAGATCGGTGATGATGTAGAGGACGTGGTTGTTAAGGAGGAGCTGGTAGGTGAAACCAAGATTACAGCTGGTGCCACAGAATGGATTTAACTGTTCGTCTTGGAGCATCTTTAAATAATAACTGCCCTAGTGTTTTCACAATGATACTCTTACTATGCATTGTATACACAACTTTTTATGAGCACATTTGTTGTATATGGCAAGGATACTGCTCAGTATTTTATTGGGCCCCTATATAAAAAATCAAATACTTTTGATTTTTATTTATTTATTTTGATTAGAGTAAAAGTTTACATCTTAGTTTTTCAATCATGCACATTTTGTTTTCATGACATTATTTATAATACCCACAATGTCTGCCCATCCATGTAATCCATATTGTCTTTCCTGTCACCTATGTTAATCAGTGTTTATTTTCTATGTGTTAATTTATCTGTTTCACTGTTCCTGCCCTATCCCTTTCTGGTAACCATACTAAAATGATTATCTGTCTGTAAATCTTCCTTTAGCTTTTTGTATTCGTGGTCCACACTTACTTATCCTTTTATGACTGAGTGACTTCTCTCAACATAATGTCCTCTAGATTCATCCATATTTAGCAGTGATTCACAAGTTCTTCATTGTTTTTCAAGGTTACAAAGTACTCTTACATAAACGTACTATATTTCTCTATCCATTTGTTTCCTGATAGTATTTGAATAGCTTCCATTTCTTTGCTATTGTAATACTGCAGTAATCATGGATGTACATGTGTTTTTTCATGTTGTAGCTCTTATTTCTTTTGCTTATATAATTAGTGGAGTAGCTTGATCAAATCCATTTTCAGCTTTTAAAGAAAATGCTAAACTGTTCACTGTAGTGTTGCACCAGCTCTGGTAGTCTAGTGTTAACAAGTTTCACTGCAATCCTAAAGGCATGCAGTTCAAGTCTGCCAGTTGCTCTATGGCAAAAAGATGGGCAGTCTTTTCCTGTGTGATTAACTGCTTCTGAAAACCCCTGGAGGCTCAGCTATGAGTCGGTTCTGACTCACAGAATACTACAACAACCAGAAGTATATGGAAGTTCCAGTCTCTCTACACCCTTGCCAGCATTTGTTGTGTATATCTTTTTAACTTTACCGTTGTAGTTGGGGTGAGGTTTTTCCCATTTTTTGTTTGTGCCATTGATGTCACTTAGGTAATGAGACTGGGCGAGCTTGCTTACCTGTAGCCATACTTATTTACCATTCTGTCACCTGTGCTAAGAAGAGTGCCAGGTCTTGTTCCTTCACATCAGAGCTGTCACTTGGAAGGGCAGCCAGTGGTGATGTAGGGAGGCCTGGGTGCCTGTGTTGAAATCTTACTTATAACCATGCTGAGCACCTGCCCTGCTGTCATGCTTTGTCTCCTGTCCTGCAGTCTTTGTGAATGGGGGACAGGTGTGGTCTTTGGAGTTTATAGGAATGTGTGAGCGTGGGGATGTTACTCTTCTTCCCATAAATAATTGGCATTTCATTCCAGGTTCTAGTCTTGTTTTTTGGCATTTGGAAATCTATTCTTTTTAATAGGGATTTAGTTGTAGTTTGGCTGTTGATCTGACTCTCCGTGACCTGGTCTGTGCTGCGTAGATCCACTCCATAGGCTTCTCAGGGCTGTGACTGCAGAAGCAGCTTGCCAGGCCCGTTTCCCACGATAGTCTGGCTGATTGTAAACTGCTAGCCGTTTGGTGAGTAGTTGATGGCTAACTGCTTGTACCACCTAGGTGCTGTCCTTTACTTTTCTTTTTAAATCAGATTTTAATTTCCAGATAATTGGACACTCACATGCAATTGTAGAAAATATTACCGAGAAATTCCTTTACCTGGTTTCCTCCTTGTTGTAACATCCTATGAATGCAATATCCCAACCAGGATAGAAATTGATAAAACTCACCAATCTTAGTTAGATTTCTTCAGGTTTTCCTTGTGCTCATGTGTTTGTTATACATAATTTTATTATCTGTATAGAGTCTACCACTCTGAGTCCTTAACAAGGATCTTGAGTATTAGCTTTTTTAAAATCCCTTCCTTCCCTCACCTTCACCTCTGGCAGCCACTAACCTATTAACTATTTTACATTTCGTTAATGTTATATAAACATAATCATACAGTGTGAAACCTTTTGAGATTGACTTTTTCCCTAATTCTTGGCACTGTGATTGTAAGCTTCATCCAAGTTGTTAGTGTATTGGTAAGTTATTCCTTTTTAATGCTGAGTATTATTTCAGAGCACTTGATTTTCCTCTTCTAAATCTGTGTTTCTTGTCCTTTTTAGAATAACTCTGTGGCTATTGATGTTGATTTGCAAGACAGAAAAAATGAATTGAATATTGTGAAGACTCCAAAAACATTACAGAAAAAGCGGAAAAATTCAGCCCAGTCAGGGACAAACATCACTCAGAAGTCTAAAAAGCAGAAAGTTGAAGAAACCAGCAGAGTTACCAACTTAGAAGGTGAGAATAGCAGTCCAGAGACACCATCGACAAGCACCCTGTGGGAAGGTGCATGCAAGAAGGAAAAGAATGAAGAAGACTTCACATTTGGACAGTCTCCTCTAAAGAAAATGAAGACTACAACATGTCCTCAGGGACAGCCTGTAAAGTTTCCAGCGAATGCCAACAGTAAGGAAGAGGTGCAAATGAACTGGGACATAGTGCAGGTATGAATTAGCCTGTTTCAGTCACTGGTTGGTTTATTGATTCTTTTTTGTGTAGCAGTTACATTGGCTGAGAGTTTATAATTCTTCTTTGTGTTTTGTGAGTGATTTCCTGGAGGCTTTGACCACTGGTCCCTTTATTGGGTATGCTTTTCATATTTTCAGCTTATCAGCCCCAGCATTTCTTAAGTGGAAAACTGTGACCTCAGTTAAGGTAGGTTTTTGTCATGCTGTCTTTGTGAACATACATTGTGTAGGCAGATTGTACCAATAATTTGTGTCCTCCAAAGTTTCCTGTTAAGTTTTTGACTTGAACTTAGATATATTTTTTCCATAAAAATAGTGCATATGGTTAAGTAGATTGCCCAGTTAGAATACCTGTTTAGCCCCAAGCATAATGTTGTAACATACTGAGAACAGGGCCTAGCAGTTTTCTAAAGGGAACTTCTATCAGAATTTCAATTTGAGGTGCCAAAATTATATCTTATTGAAGAATATATCATCTGTCTCTATTTCTTCCACTGTCTTTGAAGACCATAGAAAGGACCCAAAGAGTGATTCTTGAGTAATTTTCAACATTTTCATATATTTGTATATATAGATAGATAGATAGCAGTGCCTTTAAGGAGAGATGGGATCAAGGTGACCCCTCTCTGATCTCTCTTCCTTAGTGATTTTAGTATATATTCTGTCTTTGGTAACATTTCCTGCTTTAAAGGCTAGGATCTGACTACTACTTTTCAACTGGGACTCTTTACAGAGGAATTCTTCTATTCAGTCTACGTTTCCCTCTATTACCTGCTAGTTGAATATCACTAGGTCTTTTCTCCTCCTAAATTTTATTTTTTTGCTATTAGAAATATGCATAGTGAAACAGTTTGTATATGTACGATTAAACAACATTGATTCTATTCTTTGAATTATACAACCATTCTCACCTTCCTCTTCTGAGTGTTCCTCCCTTACTAACAAACTCACTGTTCCTTAAAGATTATTTACTCTTTTAAGTTGTTGTTGATCTTTATTATGGTCTTTAAAAGACCATCATGCTCAAGGCAGACTTTATTTTTGATCTAGTTAAGATAATGGTTTTGTTTAAGAAGACTGCAAGAGATTTTGGTTTGTTTTTTTTTTAGATTTTATTTTAATAATTTTAAGAAACATTTACAGAGATTTTGGATTTCCTTTCATTCATTGTTGCAGAGATATTTTTAAAAAAATTTTTTTATTATTAATTTCAATGAGAATTTACAGAGACTTTGGATTTCCATTCATTCATTGTTACACTTTTATCCCTGCCTGCCCCTCCCCCATCAAGAAATATTTTTGATGTAGATTCAAATTTTTTTTTTTAAATGTCAAGAGGCAGTTGTCACTGGAGGCAATTAGCTGCATAATCCATGTTGTTTTTGTTATGTGCCGTTGAGTCACCTGTGACTCATGGTGACCCTATGTACAAAAGCGCTGAACTTTGTCCTGTCCTGAGCCAGTCTCATTGTCTCCAGCACACCTGCCCCTGTGACCTCAGTCAATGTCAGTCCATCACATCCAGTCTTTCTTTCCTGCATTGTTGCTCCACGCTTCCAAGCATGATGTCCTTCTCTAAGGACTTGCCTCTCCTGGTGAAATGCCCAAAGTATGTGAGACAGAGCTTAAAAATCCTTGCCTTCAGAGAACAAGTTGGTTTTACCCTCTCTAGGACAGACCTGTTTGTTCTTTTGGCAGTTCATGTTATGGTCAAGACTGTTCTCTAGCAACACAACTCAAAGGCATTAATTCTTCCTCTGTCATCTTTATTCATTGTCCAGCTCTCTGATTCATAGCAAGTAACTGGATCAGGTGCACCTTAGTCTGTAGACTGACATCTTTGCACTTCAGCACTCTGGAGAACCCCCTGACAGCTGTCTTTGCTAATCCAATTCGTCTTTTGGGTTTCTGACTGCTAGTGCCGAGAGTGTTGACTGTGGAGCCAAGCAAACTAAAGCTGTGAACAATCTCAATCTCTTCACCTCCATCCTGATGCTGTCAGTTGGCCCAGGGATGAGAATCTTTGTCTTCTTGATATTGATCCTCAATCCATATTGAAGGCTGCAGTCCTTGATTTTCTGTAGCAAACGCTTCAGGTCTTCCTCAATTTCAGCAAGCAGGGTTGTGTCATCTGTATAATGTAGGCTGTTGATGAATCTTCCACCAATCCTGATGCCACACTTCTCATACAGTCCAGCCTCCTGGATAATCTGTTCTGCATATAGGTTGGAAAGATATGTAGATAGGACACATCCTTGGCATACACCCTTCCCAATTTTGAACCATGCAGTGTTTCCTTGCTCGGTTCTGACTACTGCCTCCTGGTCCAAGTATAGATTTCACATTAGCATGATCAAGTGTTCTGGGATTCCCATTCTTCTCAGAGTCAGCCACAGTTTGTTGTAATCCACACAGTCCAATGACTTTGCATAATCAATGAAACAGACATTCCTCTGGTACTCTCTGCTTTCTGCTAAGATCCATCTAACATTAGCTACCATATCCTAGTACCATGACCCCTTCTAAAGCCAGCCTGCACTTCTGGCAGTTCTCAGTTGATGTGCTGTTCCAGTCGTTTTTGGATAATCTTCAGTAGAATCTTGCTTGCATATGATATCAATGATATTGGTTGATAATTTCCACATTCTGTCAGATCACCTTTCTTTGTAAAGGGAACAAATACAGATCTCTCCCAGTTGGTTTGACAATTATCTGCTAATAGAAATACTTTTACTTCTTCTAATCTGGATATTTTTAAATTCTTTTTCTTGCCTTATTGCTCTGGATTGGACTCCTAATATAATATTGAGTAGAAATGGTAAGACCAGGCACCCTTATCTTCTTCCTGATTTCAGGATGAATGCTCTCAGTCTTTGTATGCTAGCTGTTGCCTTTTTATGTGATAAATATCCCTTTTATTTCAGCATTTTTAGGGTTTTCATCAAGAAAAGGTATTAGATTTTATCAGATACTTTTTGTATGTCCATAGGAGTTAATCTTGTAATTATTTTCCTGTTATATTTATGTCAATCAGTAATTTATTTTCTGATTTTGTAATTTCCATACAGTCTTAGTATAAATTCCTTGTATTTTATTATGAATCTCCTATTGTTATATTGATCTTTTATTATTAATCTTACTATGTGACTTTTTTTCTTATTGTGTAACTCTTTTAATATGCTGTTGGGTTCTGGCAAGATTTTATTGAAAATTTGTTTATATTCATGAGTTAGAAGTTTTCTTTTCTCAGAAAGTCTTTGTTGGCTTTACCAAGTGAGTTAAGGAGTAGTCACTCTTTTTCTTTGTTTTAGAAGACTTAACATAATTAGTGTCAATTTTCCTCAGAATTCTTGAAAAACTTCTCAAGCTATCCAATCCAGGCCTTTTAGTTGCTGGAAAGGGTTTGATTACTGATTCAGTCTCCTATGTGCGCAGTTAAAATTTTCTACTTTTTTTGCATATTCGTATAGATAAATTATGTTGCTAGAAATTTGTCCTTTTCATCTAAGTTTTCAAATTTAGTACAGTATTTCATAGTTTTCTGTTGTGATAATTTTTATATTTTGTTGTATCTGTTTTAGTGTTCCCAGTTTTATTTTTTATTTTGGTTATTTGTATTCTCATGTTTTTCTTTTTGAGTCTGGCAAAAATAGGCCAGTTTTACTCATTTTTTTCAAAGGTATATTATTTTTGGTTGTTATTATTGTTCTATTCTCTATTTTAGTTTATTTCTGCTTTTATCTTTTATTATTTGGCTTCTTCTGGTTGGTTTGGGCTTAGTTTGATCTTCTTTAATTTACAGCCAGACTAGTTTAAGATATTGTCTCTTCATGTAGGCATTTATTGCTATAAATTTCTTTCTGATGAGTGCTTTTGCTATATTTTATAGAGTTTCATATGTTGTGTTTTTATTTTTGCCAGTTGTTTGTAATAATTCCCCCCCCCCCCCGTAGCCACCTAAGGAATAGAATGCTGTCTCAATGGTTTTGATTTAATTCCTGTTCCTTAGTTAAGTAGTCCATCATTTCTTGGTGAAACAGTATTAACTAGACTCCTTTTATGACATTTAGACCTAGATGAAAGTATTTTAAAAATTGATGCATAAACCTCTTGCACCAGATTTACCCTGAAATCTTACTTAAAATGTAGAACCTTGGGCCTGTCACAAATCTCTAGATAGAGTAGGTGAACATGCTCCTTGCAGTCTGACAATCTCAAGGCCATTGCTGAAGTCCTGTGTTATTCCATCTACTTGAGCTTCTTACTCTCTTTCACTGACCATCTATCTTTCCAAGCATGATGTCCTTCAAAAAATAGGCCTTTCCTAGCAATATGCTCAGAGTATGTGAGATGAAGTTTATCTTCTATTTCCAAGGAGCTTTCTGACTGCTCCCTGTTCAAGGCATACCTGTTTGTTATTTTGGCAGTCCATGGGGTATTGAGTACTCTTCTTCAACACCATGACTGAAAGGCATCAGTTCTTCTTCTGTCATCTTTATTTATTGTCTAGCTCTCAACAGCATAGCAAGTGATTGAAACAGGCACACCTTAGTGCTCTAACAGCACTACTCCTCAGTAATTTGGAGAACTTCTAACTGCACACTTCCCCAGTGTAACCCAAGGGTGTTGATTGTGAATCCAAAATGAAGTCATTGACAATTTTAGCCTTCTCTTCATCTATCGTAATGCTCCTTGTAATAATATGTGAGAATTATTGTTTTCTTGACACACTGAAATCCAGTCCATAGTGAAAGCATTGTTCTTTGATCTTCTGCAGCAAGCACTTCAAATCCTCCTCATTTTCTGCAAGAAAAGGTTGTGTTATCTGCATAACGTAGGTAATTGATGAGTTTTCCTCTGATCTTGATTCCCCATTCTTCTTCATAGTGTCCAGCTTCTCAAATAATTTGCTAAGTATTATTGCTGAGTTTGAATAGTTATGGAGAGAGGACATGACCCTGATGTACATGTTTCTTAATTTTAAACTGTGTAGTATTCCCTTGCTCTGTTCAGCAACAGCCTCCTCGTCTGGGTGTAGGTTTCACATGAGCACAATTAAATGTCTTGAGATTCCCATTCTTCTCAATGCTAGCCATAATTTGTTATCATCCACACATTAAAATGCCTTTGTATAGTCAGTAAACACAAATAGACATTCTTGTGATTTTCTTTGCTTTCAGCCAGAATCTATCTGACAATAGCAATGATATCCCTAATGCCATGACAATATCACCTAATGCCTGGCAGTATCTGTGCTGGGAAATTTGGAGGATAACTGTCTGGCCAACGGATTGGAAGAGGTCCGTAATTGTTCCCATTCTCAAGAAAGGTAATTCAACGGAATGTGGAAAGTATCTAACAATATCATTAATATTACATGCAAGCAAAATGCCATTGAAGATCATTCAAAACCAGCTAGAACACTACATAGATAGGGAATTTCCAGAAGTTCAAGCAGGATTTAGAAGATGCTGTGGCACTAGGGAATATCATTGCTAATGTCAGATGGATCCTGACCGAAAGTGGAGAATACCAGGAGAATGTCTATTTATGCTTTATTGACTATGCAAAGGAACTTGACTATGTGGATCATAACAAATTATGACTAACATTGAAAAGAATGGGAATCTCAGAGCACTTAATTGTGATCATGTGAAATCCTTACTTAGACTAGGAGGCTGTTATACGAACAGAGCAAAGGAATACTGTATAGTTTAAAATTAAGAATAGAGTGTGTCAGGGTGGTACTCTTTCCCTGTGCCTATTCAGTCTGTATGCTGAGCAAATTATTTGAGAAGCTGGATTCTCTTAAGAGGAATGTGACATCAGGATCGGAGGGAGGTGCTTCAATAACCTGCATTATGCAGATTTCACAACCTTGCTTGCTGAAAGTGAGGAGGAATTGAAACACTTTTGGCAGAAGATCAAGGAATGCAGCCTTCAATGTGACTTGTGTCTCAGTGTCAAGAAAACAAAGATTCTTAGCACTGAATTGATTGGCAACGGTGTGGTGGATGGAGAGAGATTGAAACTGTCAACAACTTCATCTTGGATCCACAAATAACAGCCTTGGTTTCTTCTGTCATCCTTATTCACCGCGCAGCTCTCAGATGCACAGCAAGGAATCAGAAAAACCCTGACCTGAATCAGACGCGTCTAGTACTCAAACTGACATTTCAGTGTTGGCCAATTCTTTTTGTTACAATGATTTTGTATATTCCCTCCTTCTTTTGATGCTTCCTGGGTCATTCCATATTTTTCCCATAACGTCTCTCAGTATTATAGCTTGAGGCTTGAATTTGTTTTTCAGTACTTGTAGCTTGGGAAATGGCTGGATGAGTGTTCCCAATTTTTTATTCCTGATCCCGTTTCTCTTCACATTTCATTATAATACTTGGCTATGTCTTCTTGAGATGCCCTTTGAAATCTTCTGTTCTGATCTTTAATTTCAGTAACTCTTCCCTTTGTTTTGACTTCTTGATGCTCTGCTGCAATTTTTAGGTTCTCTTTGGACATCCATTGAGGTTTTTTCTTTCTCCTCATTCTTTGTAGTGGTCTTTTGTGCTCTTCATGGATGATTTCCTTAATGTCATCCCATAACTTATCTGCCCTTTGATTATTGAAGTTCAGTGTTTATACCTATTCTTAAGATAACTTTTAAATTCAAGTGGAGTAGACTCAAGATCATATTTTGGTGCTTTTGTACTTATTTTAATTCAGCCTCAGTTTGATCTTGCACATAAGCAGTTGATGATAATTGTGACAGATATTTCCAATTTGTGCTTACTTTAGAGGTTATATTGGCATATCCTCTCACTGGTAATGAACAAAGTATCTTTTCCTTTTATTCATGCCAGTATCGTGACTCCTTGATATTTACTATATTTGTTTGATATTTACTGCCATATGATGGATGAAAACCCTCATAGAATTTTAATAATATGGAGTGATATATGTTGGATCATACTGAATTTGTAGAAATAGCTCCTTGAATATTAAGATTGTCTATGAACATGCCTATTTTACCTAATTTTTTTCTTTTTTAAAAAACACAGCAGTTATACCCTCTTCACTTATTGACATGATTAGGTTCTAAAAACCAGGTCATTATGCAAAAATGAAAGGTGACTTTGTCCCTATACAGGGAACTCTGGTGGCTTAGTGGTAAGGAGCTGTGTTGCCTACCCAAAGTCATGTAGTTTGAATTCACCAGCTTTTCCACAGGAGAAAGATGGGCAGTCTCCCACCATGTGCTTTACTGCCTCTAAAAAACCACTGGAGAGGCAGCTGTATATTGGTTTCAACTCTATGATATATGGTAACGACAACATATCTGTATAATTGATAAATTTTATTTTATTTTTTTTAAAATTTATTTTATTTTTTTTTTGTGTGTGTGTACCATCAAATTGGATCTGACTGGTACAGGAGTAGGTTGCCCATTCTTTTCCAGGAGAGCATCTGGTGGATTCTAACCACCTACCTCTGGGATTGCAGTGCAGCTTCTTTCCACTAGGCCACCAGAGCTCGCTGATAAATTTTATTTTTATGCAACTGCCAGATCTCAAAGAATCATGGCCTAACCAAGTTGACATATAACCTTAAGCATCACATCCACCCACAGTGACATTAGAGATACATTGTTAATGCACAGTAGAATCAGATAGTAGGGTTTTTTTAACTATTGTAGTAAATGCAAAATGTTCAGTAATGTGTTGATTAATAAGGAGAGAGCATAGTTTCTAAGTCAACTCGTTGTTATTGAGTTGGAACCAACTCCTAGCTGAGCCTCTGACAGGTTTATTGGAGACTCTGATCTCAAGGGAGGAGACTATCTTCTATCTTGAAGCCATTGGTAGATTTGAATCACCAGGAAGTTGCTGCCTTTGGGTTAAATGGTGCAACTACTTCACCACCAGAACTTACTGATTCTAAGAGTCTTGGGAGTATTATTTGATTCTATGTTTTTAACTATCCATTGTAATATAAATGCTAATTTTTTAAGAATTAAACCATAAATCACTATGTATCTTCAATTTGCAGGTTTTATCTGAGAGAACTAATATTGAACTTTGGGTTTGTGCCAACATCATTCGTCTGTTTAATGATGAAAATACTATTCCCTTCATTGTACGTTACCGGAAAGAGCTCATTAATAACCTTGATGCTGATTCCTTGAGAGAAGTTCAACAAACACTAGAGGACCTGAGGTGAGAAACCCAAGAAGGGGCGGATTTATAAGAGGAAAGAAGTATTTAACCCTATGAGGAGAAACAGTGAAGAAGTAAATAATAGTATATTTGGTAGTTGAAATGTTTTATTTACAGAAATTATTTTAATCTGGATATAATACTTTTCTAGCAAAAGATTTCAGCTTTCTTTTACTTATTAAAGTGTGTATGGGTCTCTATGTTTGGTATGTTTATGTGTAACTAAGACATTTCTCAAGAGAAAGGTAGTTGTAGTGAAAGTATGTGCCTCCCAGTTGTCATTGTCTCTTACAGAAATAATTATCAGTAAGAAACCAGAAAGATGAATATAAGTAAATTTTCAACAGTTTATATAACTGCCCCCTTAGTGCCTGTTTCTTGAAAGTATGGTTTGATGGAAAATAGAATTTCTCCCCCACTTTTTTATGAAGCATTGTAGTTTGTTATTGTTGTTGTGGTTAGGTGCCATCGATTTGGGTACAACTCATAGCGAGTACAACTCCTATCCTGTGCCATCCTCACACTTCATGACACGCTAGAGCCCATTGCAGCAGTCACCATGTCTGTCAGTCCATCTGGTTGAGGATCTTCCTCTCCTTCACTGACCCTCCACCAGCATCATGTCCTTCTCCAAGGAATAGCCCCTCCTAGCAATGTGCCCAAAGTATGTGAGGTGAAGCCACCAAAGAGCCTCTAAGACCACTCTGGCCACACCTTCTCTAAGACTTATCTGTTGTTTTAGCTGTTCATGGGATGTTCAGTGTTCTTCTCCAACACCACAGCTCAAAGGCGTCAATCCTTCTGTCATTAATGAGCTGTAAGTTTGTAGAATTTCTGAACTTACTTTAATAACTTAGAAATGTGCATGCTAAGACTATAAAGATAGTAGGACTCTAACCATATTCTGTAAACCTGAACCAGACCTATAGCTATGGAACTGATTCGCCACTCTCACTCCTGGGTTTCTGAGCCTGTAGATCTTAATGGCAGGAGACACTACCCAACTTTCTCACAGTGAGTTTCTGGAGACTTAAAGTGCCAGCTTTTTGATTAGCAGTGCAATTCACTTATGTACCACAGCAGAGCTCTTTGTATTATTATTCAATAGAGTTTACTGACAGTCATTACTACACAGCAAACATGTAGTGAACACATTACTTCTTTATATCCCTGTGTAAAAGAAGCAAGGGCCACGTGGTGGTGGCCGTATCTGACCTCAACTCACACCTCAGTGGGAAACTCTGCATCAACAGCATCTACAACACAGAACCAGTTCCCATAAGGTCAGACATATTCTCCTCACTCCTACACTTCTTTCTACTAATTCTACTATCAATCTTATTGATTTCTTGGGTTTATAATTCATTGCAGCAGCTCACAGAGAACACAGAATCCTATCTGTGATTATAGGGCTTATTAGGGAAGTTAACAGAGTACAATTTCAGTTGGCAACAGGGTATGATTTCTCAGTCAGGACAGGTTCTGAAACAGGCCCTGAAGCCGTCATCCTTCTGGCTTTTGTCTGTGTAAACACTTCTGCCAGTCCTGGCTCTCCCTGCAGTCTTCCAGCAGACTTGGCTGCTCTTCACTTTGTTCTGTGCATTAGTAGTCCCAAGGCCAGTTCTGTGTTGTCCCAGGTTTCTGCTGCGGCTGCTGCTTTTCCTCTGTAGCTCTGACTGACACAAGAATCCTTGGCCCCGAAGAGCCCACTGTGTTCTCTGCCTCTTCTTTGCTGATGGTGAGATTCTCAAATTCTGCTGCAGAATCCACTCAGTTTAAAGACAAGACTAGCCAGACCCCTTGTAGACAGGCAAACATACCCTGTTCGCATAGTCTCACTCATCACTTGGCAAAGCCAAACTCAGTGGCTAGGAAAGCCATTTTGAACAGTAAACTCTTAACAGCACAACCTGCCAAAGATGCACAATTTGTCTGATTGTGAAGAAACTGGAGACAAGTTGTGGGAATTTTATAGAATGATGGCTTGGAAACTTTAAGAAGTATCTAGGCCTTGAAAATCAAGGTAATACCTGTTGACTTGAGGGAAACTAACGAAACATGAAATCTAAGTGCAGAATTCCTGATTTTGAACAGAATCCACTGTGGTGTTGCTGATATTAGGTGCCTCAAGTCAGCTCTGACTCATAACAGAATGAAACATTGCCTGATCTTGTACCAGCTTCACAATCACTGTTGTTCATAAAGACAATATTGCAGTCACTGTGTCAGTTCATCTCATGGTGTGAGTTGGTCTTCCTCTTTTAGACCAACACTTGGCTCCATGTTTGTTGAAATATGTATGTTTAATAGAGTGGATTTCAGGAAAGCTTTATTTAACCAAAAAAAACCAAAACAACCGACCCCATATGAGGGAAAAAATAGATGTACGAAGGATTGTTTTGGAGGAAGTGCAGCCAGAGTGCTCCTGAGAGACAAAGATGGGGAAACATTGTCTGTTGTCAGGAGAACTCAGCCCTTGGACAAAGACATCATGCTGGGACCAGTGGAGGGTAACTGAAAGAGAGGAAGATCCTCATGGTCATGAACTGATACACTGACTACTGGGTTGAGAATGGCAGAGACTCTGAAGGTTCACAGGGTAGGGCAACATTCTGGTCTATTTCTCTTAGGGTTTGTAAGGTCCTTTGAGTTGCAGTCGACTCCATAGCACCTAACAACAACAAAAGAATTGGAAATCACTAATCTATTTCAATCTGATTCCTGTGCAGTCCATCAGGTAAAGTCCATGTGTATAGTTGATATGTGTGTTTCTTAAAAAAAATATCATGAATATACACACACCAAAAAGTCTTTTTCTTTTTGGCTCTTCTGTTTTACAAAGTATCATGCCTTTTTTGTGTGACTACTTGATAACATACTCAAAGTACATGTGTGAGAAGATTCACCATCCTTAGTTATAAAGATCTTTTGTTCTTTTGGCAGTTGGTCCATGGTATGTTGAATGTTCTTAATTAACATCACAATTTACAGACATTAACTCTTCTTTAATCTTCCTTATTGTCGCATGCATGGGAGATGATTGAAAATACCATGATTTGCATCAGGCGCACCTCGTCCTCAAAAGTGTTGTCCTTGCTTTTTAGCATTTCACTGTAGATTGCCTATTGCAATACATCCTTTAATTATTAAGTCCATGGTGTTGATTCCTTTACTACTTCAGTTATTTTTTACCATTTATTGTAATGTTTAATTATCCAGTTGGGGAAATTTTTATTTTCTTTCTGATGAGGTGCAGTGTACACCAAAGACTAGTCTTTAAGGCTTATCAGTAAGGGCTTTAAGTCTTGTTTTCTACAACAAGGTTATGTCATCTGCATATTACAGGTGGTTAATGAGTTTTCCCTCTAATTTTAATACTGCTTTCTTCTTTGTATGGTTAAGTTTCTCTGATGCTCAGCATTGTTGTTGTTGTTATGTGCTGTCGAGTTGCTTGCGACTCATCGCAGCCCTAAACTCCGCTCTGTCCTGTGCCAATCGCACTCTCTGACACTCCCATCCCAATGATCCCAGTCACTGAATCAATCCACCTCATAGAGGGCCTTCCCCTCCTGCGCTGTCCCTCCACCCTCCCAAGCATGATGTCCCTCTCTAAGGACTGGTCTCTCCTCACAACGTGTCCAAAGTATGCTAGACGGAGCCTCAGAATCCTTGCCTCCAAGGAGCCACCGGTTTAACCCTTTCCAGGACAAATCTGTTTGTTTTCCTAGCAGTCCATGGTATTCTCAATACTCTTCTCCAGCACCACAGCTCAAAGGCATCAATTCTCCTTCTATCCTCCTTGGTCATTGTCCAACTCTCTGATGCATAACAAGTGATTGCGAAGACCATGGCCTGTACCAGACGCACCTTAGTCTCCAGAGAGACACCATTGCTCTTCAGTACTTTGGAGAGGTCCCTAACAGCAGACTTTCCCATGGCAATGCGCCTTTTAATTTCCTGGCTGCTGGTGCCAAGACTGTTGACTATGGAGCCAAGCAAACTAAAGCTGTGTACAATCTCAATCTCTTCACCATCTATCCTGATGCTGCCAATTGGTCCAGTGGTGAGAATCTTTGTCTTCTTGACATTGAGCCTCAATCCATATTGTAGGCTGCAGTCCTTGACACTCTGCAGCAGGTGCTTCAGGTCCTCTTCAGTTTCAGCAAGCAGGGTTGTGTCATCCGCATAACGCAGGTTGTTGATAAATCGTCCACCAATCTTGACCCCACATTTCTCCTCATAGAGCCCAGCCTCCCAGATAATCTGTTCTGCATATAGGTTGAAAAGGTATGGAGACAGGATACATCCCTGGCGTACGCCCTTCCCAATTTTGAACCATGCAGTGTTCCCTTGCTCTGTTCTGACGACTGCCTCCTGGTCCAAGTATAAGTTTCGCATTAGAACGATCAAGAGTTCTGGGATTCCCATTCTTCTCATAGTCAGCCATAGTATGTTATGATCTACTGATTGAAAAATATAGTAAAAGGATACAACCTTGACACACTTCCTGATTTTAAACCATGCAGCATCCCTTTTTCTCTTGTTCTAATGACTCTTTTGGTCTATGTATAGGATGAGCACAAATGTTTCGGAATTCCAATTCTATAATTTATGTGTCTCAATAAAGCTCAAGAAGAGCAAAAAAAAAAAAAGATTCGTATAGTTTAATGCCTTTTAATAGTCAAAAGCACAAGTAAATAACTTTCTGATATTTTCTGTTTTCAACTACGTTCTTTCTGATATCCCTTCTTCCATGTCTCCTTCAGAATCGTTTTTGTGGTTCATTATGGTTCTACTGCTCCAGGGCCGTTTTAAATTGTCTTCAGCAAATTTTACCCATGTGTGATAATTAATGATACTGTTCTGTTATTTCTGCTTTGTATAAGATCACCTTTCTTTGGAATAGGCACAGATAGTGGAACTCCTTTAGTCAATTGGCTAGGTAGCTAGCTTCCAAATTTCTTGGCAGAGATGAGTTAGCATATCCACCTCTGCATCTG